CATTTAATACTCACTGTAAAGCACCAATGTGTGCTCAATACCACATAAAATGTCCCATAAAAACTGGCAACATTTATTTAGCACTACAAACTAATAATCACATTTTCCTTTCATCAGCCTTATTAACCACATAGGCTTTTCTGATAAAATACTAAGTGCATAAAACATAAGTAGACTTTGCCTTTTAGACGGTTTTATTTATTGCCATGTGGGCACTAACCGGAAAAACTGGGCTTGCTTCTGTTGCACGTTTTTGCAAAAACAGTTTCCCAAGTCTTTCACAGCGAGAACAACCTCCCAGCAGCAGCCCCTGATGCATAATCCCAACTGCACAAATGTACAAATCTCAATCAGTGATTGCTTCGGCTATTTCATTCTCCTTCAAAACAGCTGTATCCCAATTTGAAAACTATTCTCTTTTGTGGTGTGGCAACTCAGAGTCAAGTATCTTTTATAATCAGCGTCTTTGAGAAAGAACCTAAGCACTGGCAACTTTCCTCCTTACTGATGCCAGGCAAGCAAAAGCACACCTAGACAAGGGTTCAGAAGTGGAAGGGAGTGGGCCTGGCTGGCTGACTGAGAGCCTCTTGGGCAGTACCGCCAAACACTTGGGAACCGTGCAAGGAAGCTGAGAAATCATGGAAGCCAACCCTACGCTTCACACAGCTGGAGTGGAGTGGCCCATAGAAGAGCCCTGGCCGGTCAAAGGTCACAGAACAAGCTATTGACAGAGCTCAGTTGAGAATTTACAGTCTCGGGGCACCTGGCTGGCTCAGTCAAAAGGGCATGGGACTCTTGATCTCAGGGTCATGAGTCTGAGCCCCACACTGGGGAGATTACTTACGAAAAAAAAAAAAATTAAATAAGTAGAATTTACGGTCTTCTCACCTTCTGCCACTATTCTTTCTACCTCATACTTCTTTATAAAGTAAAATGGAAACAATGGGATCAGAAACCGTGGAAGAAATCAAATCTATTACTATTACACAAAAACTATAGAGGGTCTCCAAATCTTCTAACATGTATGGACTAAGTAAGAGGGACAGGAAGATCAAAACACTCCCAGCATAGAAGGGGCAGGGGAGGAGAGGGAATTTGCTTTTCAGTTTTATCTTGATAATTCTACATCATGGGAAGATGCCAAGGGCCCCAAGGACTGTGTCACAGGTGAGCTTGGTGCAACAGGTGATTTTTTTTTTTTAAGTGCTTAGAAATCACTTCTGAAGTCCCTACAAAATTCTAATATATTTCAAACTGTTTAAAAGAATTATTCACACCATAAATGCTTCGTCTTTCACTTGCAAGCAGAATAGGGTGTTAAGAGACTGAAGAAACCCAAAAATGAGGTGAAGAGGAACAGAACTAGAAGGATAAATTGGCAACAAGGGAGAACACAGGTATGGAAGCCACTAGAGAGGAAAACTGTACAGGACTTGGAAATAGCTGAACAGATACAAAGATAAAAGAAGGAAAGTGATGACCAAGGTTTCTAGAAGACTAGAATCCAAGGGTCTTTGGGGGAACATGTGTGGCTAGTCCAGTCCTGATATTCTTCTACATTTTTCCCCAAATAACTAAAATCAGTTTCTATTCTAAAAAGTTAAACTAAAACATTTAAACACAACAAAGTAGGGGCGCCTGGGTGGCTCAGTCGGTTGTGTCCGACTTCGGCTCAGGTCATGATCTCGCGGTGAGTTTGAGCCCCATGTCGGGCTCTGTGCTGACAGCTGAGAGCCTGGAGCCTGCTTCAGATCCTGTGTCTCCCTCTCTCTCTGCCCTTCCCCCGCTCATGCTCTGTCAAAAATAAAACATTATAAAAATTTTTTAAATAAAATAAAAACAAACACAACAAAGTAGGGGGAAACTTTTAAAAATTCTTATCAAAGGTTCCTAAGAGTTTGCTGACAAAAGAATTTTGCTGATTGGGCTGCTGAACCATTTACTGTCGGAATAAGCAGATCAATCTCTAAACCAGTCTTTACACCAATGAAATCCCTCTCTGATTCTTCACAGGATAATTGTAAGTAGAAAACAACACCCATGAAAGCACCTGATACAGTGCCTGGCATGTGATAGATGCTCAAAAGTTGGATCTTAAAGGTATGAAATGTCGGCTCCCCAAAACGTAGATTTGCTTAAATGTAACTTTTCTCCCTCCCTTTCCCATCTATGTCTCTCTTCAGCAGCAGGCTCAAATTTACAAGTTGTCTAGAAAATATGGACTCTTTCTCTATACCAAGACAGCTCTGTGTGGGCTCACAGAACCACACCGACTGTGAACTCTGAGACAGGAAAGTTACAGAGTGGGCTCCTTGCCCAGTCACACGACGTTCCTTCACTTCAGGTCAGGCCTTAATCTGCCCTTTTGGTGGAGAGCTGAGGACTCCCTGTCTCTGCCTCCCAAGTACACCTCTCCCCCATCTACCCGCCCACCCCTAAGGGTTGCTGCAAGAAACCACAACTTCAAGCCTTGTTTCTCCCAAATTCAGATCAACCTAGGGGACCCACTGGTTCGATTTAAGCCCCTCTACCATTCCTATGCACTTCTAGTTAACCCATACTCTCTTTTACAATAGTGTTGTCTTCCTCCACTCTTTTCCTGTGCCCCCATCACTGTAGCCAAACAGCTCTTGCAAGCCTTTTAAAAATCACTAATCGGGGGGCGCCTGGGTGGCTCAGTGGGTTAAACATCAACTCGTGATGTCGGCTCAGGTCTTGCTCTCATGGCTCATGAGACAGAGCTCCAGGGCCGGGCTCTGTGCTGACTGACAACAAGGAGCCTCTTAGGATTCTCTCTCCTTTTCTATCTGCCCCTCCCCCTGAGCGCTCTCTCTCTCCCTTTCTCTCAAAATAAATAAACAACAAAAATCACTAATTGGCTAGACCTTCCTCCCGCCTTCTAGCCAAATTAATATTGGCCCTTACTCCTCTTCCATTCATTCACAACTCATACAAGGGTATTCGAGTAAAGTACAAAAATGAGGGTTTCTCCTCTGTAAAAAAAGATATTCAGAACTACATACATTCAGCTACAGGCACTTCTTCACTGGTACTCAATTCCTCATCTCATTTTTCACTGGAGTAACTGGCAGAAATGCCGTTATTCCAGAAATTCCACTAATCTTGCCAATTTATCCATATATTCAACTTCTTAGTATAGTATGACATTACGTTATTTATACGTTAGATCTTTTACTTTCCAATTTCCTATAGTTTCGTGGATATGCTATGTGGTCTTGCCAACCAGTAATTTACACTAAATTGCAGTATCAACAGTCAAAATGGCAGCAGAAACTGTACATGCGTCTGCCTTTGGCAAGACTGAATTTCTTGAGGGTAGAAATCAGGTCACAGTATTTATATTTCTTAACAGCATATAGTATTTGGTCTTATATGAGGCAGTCAACCGAACTGTGAAACAAGAAATAGTACGGAAAGTATAAATAACAGGGTAAAGGAGATGAAGCATACTCTGGATTTCTTCACAAGTTATGTGACTTTGGGACGATCACATTCTCTGTGCCTCAGAAGCCTCTCCTGAGAAGTGGCAGGCATCTGACAGTAAAAAAAAACTCCAGGATCACTCCCACCTGACAATCCAGCAAGCCCCAGGAGTTCAAAGGTCATTCCACATCCCTCTTTTCTACAACTGAAATAGCCCAGGCCACTTGGAGGCCAAAGCTGGTCTGATCACTTAGCAGTTGCACACACAGACAGCATCCCAAAATTATGGATGAGGTGCTCCCCAATATCTCGCTGGCCCATAATGGGTTGGTAATGACGTGTTTGTCTGCCATCTCCATGAGAACATGTTCATGTATGATTCCATGACCTTGAAGACAAAGCCTGCATCTTACTCCTTTTAAACCCCTACAAACCTTAGCATCCATCAACACGTTCAATCCCCTTTCAATGGAAACTGAGAGGTGGTAGTGGCAGAACAAGAGAATACAGGAGTTCTGGAATCAATTATCACTCCACCAATAACCTTAGCAACTCAAAACTCACACATAAGGGGTATCATTTTGCAACTTGATGTCAAGGTGCACTGAACACTGACAAAAGCAAAGAAAATTATTTTTAAATGGTACTGTTTATTGACAAATTAGCATTCTCATGCATTAAATATTCACCTGTTTTTAATAGCCCTCAGTTAAATAGTTGGGGGATTAACTGGTCTAGAATCTAGTCTGAGTTAGGAAATGTGCCACTAGATTATCTTTGAAATCCTTTCCAATTCTAAAGCTCCCAAATTTTCTATGAATAAACGCAGGGCGATCCAAGAAACAAATCTACCTCTTCTTTACTCAGTCTGCTTAAGTAATCCAGGCGGGAGGCAAGGTACTCTGGTACAGCAGTCCCTCCACAAGTGGTTCCCAAGAAGTCGAGTGTGGCGTGGGAGCAGGCCCAGGTGCCTCACACCAAGTATACTCGAAAGCTCCTGAACTCAGAAGCAGCAACGGCCTATGAAGCAAACTTCGTCTTATGACTTGAGAAATTTGAGTCAATCCGTCCCTTCTTTGTCCCTAACTAGCCCTAGCCTGGTAAGTAGTCACTTCTCCCATCTGCAGGATGACAAGCTGGACTGGGATCTCTAAGGTCCCTTCCAGGTGATATCCAGAAAAGTCTCCCGAGAGAACTAAAGATGGTCGGACCCCACCCCCCGCCGCCCCGCACGCTGCCCAGGGGTAAATTCAAGTCCACCTGCCCATGCTTAAGTCAACCTGAAAAGCGGAACTGCGATTCCCAAACTAAGGACACAACCACCTTAGAGTATTAAGATGGGGGCGGGGACAGGACAGCTGTTTCAAACCACACCCGCCCTCTCTTTGGAAGGAAGTGGGCCAAGTTCCTTAGGTGCAGGGGAAGGAGGGCGGAGACTTCTGATGGTCCCTGCACAGTGAGGAGGAGCTGCAGGATGGCACCCTCGGGAGCCGGGTGTGTGTTGAGGGGTGCCCTGGGCCCACGGACCGTGTCCGAGTGGCCGGCCGCTCACTCACCCACAGGCTGCTGAAGTAGTCCAGCCCGCGGCAGATGAGTGCGCCGGCGTGCGCCAGCAGCACCTGCACGCCCAGGTAGCTGCCGAGGCAGTAGAGGCCGTAGAGGAGCGGGCCGCCGGCGCCCAGCAGCAGCAGCAGGCGGCGGCGGCGCAGCGCCTGCTCGCCCAGGGCCTCAACGCCGTAGTCCGCGAAGCAGAGCGGCAGCAGCAGCGCGGCCAGCACGATGGGCGTGTGCGCGCGGTGCAGGCGCTGCAGCCAGTGGCGGCCCAGGCGCGTCAGCGAGCTCTTGAAGGGGTGCAGGAAGGTGCCGCACAGCACGGCCCACAGCAGTGGCCGCAGGAAGGCCTCCAGGATGAAGTAGACGAGCACGGCGGCGCCGCAGCACAGGCACACGAACAGCACGGCCCCCGTATTGTAGAAGGCCTGCTTGATGGGCTTGTCGAAGCGCAGCGCCAGCGCCGGCGTCCTAGGGGTCTCCCCGCAGCTGGCCCCGCTTCCCGGCCCGACCGCGCGCGGGACCCGCGGCGCCCGACCCGGGGAGCCCCGTGGGCTGGGCGCCTCGGCAGGGCGGCTGTCGTCGGCCATGGTGCCTCTGCTGCCGCCGCCAAGAGGCGGTACTGGAAAGCCGAGCGAGAGTCGCGGGAAAGAGGTAAAGACGCTCTGCGCGCAGCATTATGGACGTTGTAGTTCCTAGCTGGCCACTGAGCGCCTACAGGCCTCATGGGGAACTACAATTCCCAGAGGGTGTGGAGAGTGTTCTTTCTCCCCCAATTTCCTCCGCCCATTGGTCCCTGCAGATGCAGGTAACAGGTTTCTGGGCTCATCATCTGCAGAGAGAGAGAAAAAAAAGTTCCTCACCCATTGGTTAAAGTTAACTTTTCAAGGGGCGGAATTCCAAGAGGCACTACGTTCACAGTTTGAAAATCCGGGCTGTACATTAGAACCCCAGGGTGGAGGAGCACTTGTGCAAGACGATCCCCACATTCAATTTTATTGGTTTATTTAAGAAGCAAAGCGCTTGCTCTGGTATAGGACTTTAAATAGCAGGGGCACCTGGCTGGCTCAGTTCATTAAGTATCTGACTCCATTTCGGCTCAGGTCATGATCTCAATGGGGTGATGGAGCCTGCATCAGGTTCTGGGTCAGGTTTTGCGCTGACGGCTCAGGTCCTACCTGGGATTCTCTCTCTCTGTCCCTCCCCTGCTCGTGCACACACACACACACACACACACACACACACACACACTCTCTCTCTCTCTCTCTCTCTCTCTCTCTCTCTCTCACTCTCTCTCCTTCAAAATAAATAAACATTTTTTTTTTCCTAGCGACTACCGGGGTGCACCTGGGTGGCTCAGTCGGTTAAGCGTCCAACTTCAGCTCAGGTCATGATCTCACAGTTTGTGGGTTCGAGCCCTGCGTGGGGCTCTGTGCTGACAGCTCAGAGCGTTGAGCCTGCTTTGGATTCTGTGTCTCCCTCTTTCTCTGCCCCTGCCCTGCTCATGCTCTGTCTCTGTCTCAAAAATAAATAAAACATTAAAAAAATTCTTTAATAAATAAAATAGCGATTACTGTATGTCAGACCCTGTTCTAAGTGCCTCATTCACTGAATCCTTAGAACAATCCTACAGAGAACATGGTGTTATTATCCCCACTTTACAAAAGGGAAAACTGAGGCACAGAGAAGTTAAGTACCTAGCCAAGGTCACACAGCTACTAAGTAGTAAAGGCGTAATTTAAACTCAGAATCTGGCTCCTAAGTCAATTGTTTTACCTACTATGCTAACTGGTGTGACAAGTGACCTTTGGCATGTTTTTTAAAGCTCCTCAGTGGACTGTAATGTACAGCTACTGTTGCCATTGGGGTAGGTGTCAGTGAGCGAGATATCTAAACTCATAAAAGAGCCCTAGACCAGAGTCCCAAACTGCCACTATTTCTTTTTGAGACCTAGGGTCAGGTCGCTTGAGGCCCCAACCCCAATTTCCCCTCTGTCACATGGAAATGACAATAACAGAAGCTCTTGTCTCAGAAAAGAAAAAGAGGAAGCTCTAGGGGAGTGCAAAGTGCTTCTGTTATTATGTTGGAAAGGTCCTGGGATCCAAGCCTACTAACACCTCAAACAACACCTAAAAACAACATTTTTGTTAAAAGGAGATGAAAGAAGGGAGGGCAGAAGGAAGGAAAAAGAAAAAAGAGAAAAAGAGCAAGCAGGCAGGCTTTACTGAGTACCCAATCTGTGACTGCTTTGAAACCCTGCAGGTTACCCTTTTTCTGTTTTCAATAAGTTTTCATATTAATTTAAACATAATTAAAAAAAATTTTTTTAATGTTTATTTTGGAGAGAGAGAAAGACAGAACACAAGCGGGGGAGGAGCAGAGAGAGAGGGAGACACAGAATCTGAAACAGGCTCCAGGCTCTGAGCTGTCAGCACAGAGCCCGACGTGGGGCTTGAACCCACAAACCGTGAGATCATGACCTGAGCCGAAGCCGAACGCCCAACCGACTGAGCCACCCAGGTGCCCCAATTTAAACAGAATTTTTGTTTCTCTTCTAAAGTAGACAGGACAAATGTCATTATCCACAGGTTTCAGATGAAGAAATTGTTGCTTACTAAGGGTTGGAGGCAAGGGGAGTCAGAGCATAAAGTAAAAGAAAAAATAATTCCTTTCCATCCCATTTTTTTTTTTTAGGTTTCAGGTCACAGCTCTTGGTTTTTTTTGTTTTGTTTTAATTTTTTTTTTCAACGTTTATTTATTTTCTTTGGGACAGAGAGAGACAGAGCATGAACGGGGGCGGGGCAGAGAGAGAGGGAGACACAGAATCGGAAACAGGCTCCAGGCTCTGAGCCATCAGCTCAGAGCCTGACGCGGGGCTCAAACTCACGGACCGAGAGATAGTGACCTGGCTGAAGTCGGACGCTTAACCGACTGCGCCACCCAGGCGCCCCTCACAGCTCTTGTTTTTCAAGTGGCCTTTGGACTTTGACTCTGTAAATAATATTGCTTCAGTGGTCTTATATTTGCTTTACTTCTTTACTTTGTCTAGAGCTGCTGAGACTATGGTTGCAATCATGGCCACATTTGCTTTCAGTGCCTGTTTTACACTGACCCCAAGCTCTTATTTATATTGCAATAAAGCCTTAGCCTCCCTCCCAAAAAGTCCTCGGTAATGAGTAGGGAATCCCAAAGAGGGTACCTTACAAATGCCCAGAGCCATGAGTCCACCACCAACCACCCTATATCCACCTTGCTGCCCACACGCGCTGCCTGACTCCAGTTCCTATCATAGAATTGCCAGTGCCTATGTCACTATTCCCAGATCCTGGATACTCCCAAACTTCTAATCCTCAGACAAAGAGCTGGGTTCCACTCAGAGATGGGGAGGAAGTCCCTCTCCCTGACTTGCCCACCCTGTGCCCTTTTGTGACCCAAACCCTAAACCAGGCAACTTGTACTCAGTGTATTGTATCTCTTTCCATGAAGAGTTCCTTCCATGTCTGGCCTTCTGTCCTCTAGCCACAGGGGCTCAGAACCTACCCAAAAAAGTAGGTGAGGTAACAAAGACCAAGCATCCTCTGTCCTCCTCCAACCAAAGACTCAGCTCTCTTCCTCTTGTTAGGAAAAAAAAAAAAAAAAAAGTTCCATTTTACCAAAGTAAGGTTGCCTAAACTGTTTGGGGCCCCAGCTCAGCAAATCAAAAATCAAAAATCCCCTGTCGTGGTGTTCTGCTTCCAAGTCACAGCAAAAGGCAAAATGCTGACTATTTCAAAACTGTTCTAATAGCCAAAGTAATAGAACTGACAAGTGTCCAATAGAATTTCTAGTCAAGAATGGAATTCTGACAGAAATGATGGCCGCAGCACTGGAAACGAACTAGACTAACATTTATATGGTCTAATGTAAGTCTGGGTTCCCACAGAATTTTGCTTACCATGCTATGGCTGTACTTACCACACTATGGTCAAAGTTAAGCGGTTTACATGGGTTTGCTTCATCTCTGTGCCCCCAGCACCAGACACAGCGTATGACATTCATAGTACAAAGCAGAAGCTCAGGGTTTGCTGAGCAAGTGCATGAGCAGTAGCCTTTCAAAAAGCCTGTTTGTGCTTCCTCCAGGAAATGCTACTGAAACGCTGAGAAAGTTTCTGGTAGGCATTCTTGTGGTTGAGAGCAGAGACAAATTAAAATACTGAGGTGTAGGACCCACAAACTAAATTTGAGAAGGGTACGCACAGTCCACCCAATCCTCTAGCTCATAGGATGTATGCTTTTAGGCCTCTCCTCCAAATCACAAGGCTACTTGAGTTTTCTTTGTTGGCCCCACTCCAACCGCCTCAGGCAAGAACAGCCTCCACGGACATCTAGGATACAGCGGAGGTAAAATGGACTCGGGAGTGGATCAAGCTGCCTTTGGCCTTCCTGTTGCAGAACCCATCAATTCCCTGATCATTTAAACCAGTTTTAGTCAGGTTTCACATTTCTTGCAACAGAAAGCTTTCTGGCAGAGAAAGTAATACCTATATCATTGGCTGCTGTGGGGATTTGCGAAATAAGAGTGTGTCTAAAGCAGCAGCATAGTGCTTGGGATATGGTGAGAATCTGACAGTGGTCCTCAGGGTGACAAAGCGGCTCTCTTGAAGCCAAAGAGGTAGCTCTTAAACAACAGTTAATGTCCACAGACTCCCCTCCCCGCCCCCCCCCCCCCGCCCCTTCCCCAAGGTATGGAGATAAAAGCCCCAGAGATAAAGCAAACACAGGCGGGAGAGGATTCTCCAGAGCATTGTATCTTGGAGTTCTCCAAGTGTCTCTACAAACATTTGCTGAATTGTGCTGAGCCCTTGTTGTGCACAAAATCCAGTGCCTACAATGGAGTGTGTATGAACAAACAAAGGAAACAAAAGAGACAAACCAATAGACTCTTTAACTGTAGAGAACAGATAGTTACCAAAGGAGGGGGGCAGGGAGAGGGGAACTAGGTGAGGGGGATTAAGAGTACACTTATCTTAATGAACACCCAGTAATATAGAGAATTGTTGAATCACTATATGGTACACCTGAAACTAATTTAACACTGTGTTAACTCTACTGGAATTAAAAAATAAGCAAAACAAAAAACCACGCAGTGTGTAAGTCACGTATCAAGTGGTATGTATGCACGGTGGAGGAGGAGAGATCATGTGAAAAAGTAATCAAACAGACATGCATTCAAATTCCAAATAGGAATTACCACTTTTCTTTGCTAAGTCCAAGGCCGACATTGCTAATCAGCCACTGATCTCTTTCTCCCTGAGCCTAACATAGCCTCAAGATCCTTGGGGCACCCAGGCGACTCAGTGGGTTGAGTGTCTGACTTCGGCTCAGGTCGTGATCTCGCAGTTTGCAAGTTCGAGCCCCACACCGGGCTCTGTTGTCAGCACACAGCCCACCTTGGATCCTCTGTCCCCCTCTCTCTGTCTTGTGCTCTCTCTCAAAAAATAAGTAAACTTTACAAATAAATATATTTGAAAACTCCTCAGCAGAACATTGTAGGGAACCACTATCAACTAAACAAAGTAGGCACAAAAGATGAAATTTACTTGCCTTCCCTACCATGGATGTCTGATACTAGATA